ATATATGATGTTATAAATACAATGAATATATACCACATACTACGCGAAAATGTTACGTCATGTACTTAAATTTATCTTGAAAAAAACGTCTAACATACGTCTAAAGACGTTTTTATTTAGACGTCTTTTAGCCTTATGATCTAGACGTCTACAAGTGCACCTTTTAGACCTCTTTAAAGACATCTTTAAAACGTCTTTTAAACGTCTTTGTGCTTGCTGGGATAGATCTAACATTTATCAATATAGATCTAAGTTTGTATTACGTTACTAGGTTACGTGAATAATGTAAAACTTCTTCTACCAACTCCATGATACACGACCCCATTAAAATTTCGGAATCTTTTAATTCATTTTTTGTTTCAGTTCCGGAAGATTTACAGAATAAGATCCACTCATCCAATACTGACTTTAATAAATATCTTAAAAATCCTAATCTTAATTCAATGTTCATAAAACCTTTAGACAAAAACGAAGTATTATCGATTATTCATTCTCTTAATGACAGCAAGGCTTCTGGACCTAACAGCATTCCAATACCTATTTTTAAAGCTCTTGCAAATGATATCTCTCCTGTACTTTCTGAACTATTTAATCTGTCATTCCCTGATATTTTAAAAACTGCTTCTGTTATCCCAATTCATAAAAAAGACTCAAAACTTGAACGTAATAACTACAGACCAATTTCATTATTATCAAATGTCAGCAAACTTTTAGAAAAACTTATGTATTCTCGTATTTACAACTTTTTAAATAATTCTGCTTGTTTTCATATTCGACAATTTGGGTTTCGCTCAAATCACTCCACTTTTCACGCTCTTATTAGCATTACTGAAATGATTCGTGGTGGAATTGACAGTGGTTCTTTTGCTTGTGGTGTATTCATAGATCTTCAAAAAGCTTTTGATACGGTTGATCACAACATTCTAATAAAAAAGTTAAACTACTACGGAATACGTGGTATTGCTAATCATTGGTTTTCTTCATATATTACGGATCGCACTAAGTTTGTTTCAATTAATGGATTTGAATCCACACATAAAGTTATTAAATATGGCGTTCCACAAGGTTCCGTTCTTGGACCGTTGTTGTTCTTATTATATATAAATGATTTATCTTGTTCGTTAAAAAATTCTATGATACATCATTATGCTGACGATACCAATCTTTTATATATCAACAAATCCCTCACGACTATTTGTAAAAAAGTTAATCAAGATCTTCATCGCTTATGTAACTGGTTAAATAGTAACCGTATTTCCTTGAATGTCAATAAAACTAAATACATTATATTTCATTCCCCTCAAAAAACTATTGATCATATTAAAATTAAAATTAACGGTAAAAAAATTTTTCCATCAAAATATATAAAGTATCTTGGAATATATCTTGATGAAAACCTATCTCGTATAATCAACTGTATCATCTAAAAAAAAAACTTACACGAGCTAACAGTATGCTTTCTCTAATTCGTTACTATGTTCCTATCCAAACTCTTCGAATGATTTATTTTTCTTTATTCTCTTCTCACCTTTGCTATTGTTGTATTGTTTGGGGTCAAAAAAGAAACTTTTTACTTAACAACATTGCTAGTTTACAACGCGCATCTATTAGAATAATGACGTTTTCCCCAATGAGATCTGATATCGAAAAAAAATTTTCTGAACTAAAAATCCTAAAACTCCATAATCTTGTAAAGTTTTACAATTGTCTTTTTGTGTTTGATTTTCTCCAAAATAATCTACCAAGCCCTTTTTCAAATTTTTTTATTAAAACATACGAAGTTCATAATCATCACACCAGGAATACAGAAAATAGTAAGCTATACTATTCTTTTTTCAGCACAATCAAATATGGTAAGTTTTCCATAAAACAACAATGTATCTCTCAATGGAACCAGTGTATTCCTGCATTAACAAAAAAGTCTAAGAAAAAATATCCACTTGTTACGAATTTTTTACTGCTTAACAGAATTCAATTTAAAAATATATTGTTGGAGTGTATTTCTTTATAATTTCTCTCTGTACTATAGTTGTCTTGTGGTTTGATTTTTATTTTATTTACCAATCTTATATTTATTTATTATTGTGTTATTAATGTTACATTTTATGTTATTATTATATCTAATTATCATCTATGATTTGTACATACAATTTATATTGTATTATAATATTCTTAATATTATTGGTACTTTATTGTTATTGTTATTATTTTGTATTATTACTATTATTATTACATATATCATTATTATTTGTTTAACAATCTTTTCTTCTTTTCTTTATTATTTATATATACAGATATTAAGTTTTTTCCTTTTTTTTTTTTTTTTTCTTTCTATTTATTTATTTTTTCGTGAAATTTTTATGTTTTTTAGGTGTCACTCCATTGACTAGTTTGTATCTATATGAGTGACACCTAACCAATTTATATTAATTTACGATGAAATTTGTAAATTTTATTGATATGGTTAAATAAAAAAAAAAAAAAAAAAAAAAAAAAAAAAAAAAAACTTTATACGTAATTGAAATACGTAACAAGAGTTCATAATAAGAATTAAGATGTTATGAAAGTAAATTGCATATTCTAATATCTTGTGCAATATCTGTCCGCTTTTTCTATGCTATCTTTCTAACTCGCTTTCTTCTAACTTTTACTCTATCATTATTTTTTCTTCTTGAAATCACTTACTCTTAGTCTGCAAAGCGGGATATGATGCTGATTAATTAGCTGAGCTTCTCTTAGCAAGCTTTGGTCTGAGGCCTTTATATTTCAATTAACCGCATAAACCACAAAACCAATTTCATATTATGTTTAAATAAAAGTGAAAGATTAAATTATTGTCTCAAATTATTATTTACTTTACCAAACTGTCAAAAAGGTAACAAAATTTTAATTTTCATGAAAAAATTTTCTATAACTAGATTTCACTCTATTGTGCTTATTACCAGAGAGGGGGCGAATAAGGTATTGAGGGGGAAGGATTTGATTGTAGATCTATTAAACAGGGGGTCTCAATAAATAGGTGGGTTGGAATTTTTTCATAAATTTAACTTTAATTTAATGTTGACCTATAAAATCAAAACTTCGTAAATTTCAACTAAAGTTGTATATAGAACACATATAAAACAATTTAATTCTAGCGCGGCTTGCGGTCAAATGGGCATTTCTAAACGGCTGTTTTATTATAATTTCATTTAATATGTAATATTTTAATAAGTGATTATTGTTTTTATTTTGATCTGTGTTTGAATATATATATATTCAAATATTTTAATGCTTAAGCTGGTTTACACCGATTATTTTTTAATGCTGTTTTTGTTATTTTTTTAAGAGATTAGTTTTTTTGATGACAACTTGTTATCAGCAAAAATCACTGTTAATAAACGGTCTTAACAAACTTTGAGTGGATGGAATAATTTCTCTCCCGTGTCTTAAGCAGGCAAAAGTACATTTTTAAACATATTGTTTATCTAAGTTTTCCATTAGCGTCGCAGATAGGGCAAAAATTATGGAACTTTTTTCTGCAGATAAAACAAACTCTTATTAATCTATATTCAAAATTGATATAAATAAAGTAACATATTTATATAGATGAACATTAAGAACGTATTAAAACTGAGTTACAAACGCAAGTGTTTATTATTTCTCATAGTATATTAGTTCTAATTTCTCAAAATTGTTAAATTATGCCATTATCAAATTATCTTCATAAAATTAAAGATGCGCTATTACCACGAGCTCTCGTATCTAACAAGTTAGGTTATATAATATTGAAACTACTTTGCGATTGAGTTACATAAAATATTAGTTTGATAATTTAAAAATAAAAGATTATTTAAGATTTAATTGGACTCTATAATTATATAACTAAACTTAATAATTATGTAACAATTGCAAAGATGCATTACAAAAACGTGAAACTAGATCTTTATTTGAATTATTGGATTGGGTAATGCGCTTGCATATTAGGTACGCCACCTAAAATTACACGTTTTTAAACTAAGCATTCGGGTGTGGTGAAAACTTATTTAAAAAAAAATTTCTCTCATTAAACCCCTATAGAATAAAATAACATTGATCTATATAATAAAATAACATTGGGTTTCAACAAATTATGAGTCAAAAATAATTTTAGAGGTAAATATTTTTCGGATCCCAATTATTAACTAAACAAATTTCTTTAAAATTATGTCAATCTAGTACTTAAAAATTTTAAAAATAGTAATCATTTTAAATTCTAGTAGTTTTATTTACAAAATGTTTGTCATTTATATTATACTTATATACATGCAATTTTTTTCAATAAGATGATTTTATTCACAAGTAATTTTTACATTTGTCATTTAAAAACATTCCCATTGTTAAACGCTTTTAAATTTCTAATTTTATGGTGATTTAGTATATCTCATAATTTTTTACAGAGTATAACTGAAATTTGTATCAAGAGGTTTTACTCTTTTTGTGCAACCATTGCATTTTTTTTTTTTTTAATTTAAAGAATTCTAAGTTATGTATATCTTACTTTAGGTATTCGTTTGTATAAATTAGTAGATAAGGATAGATGAATAAAAGTACTCGCAACGTCATCGCTTATAACGGAGGTTTAAGTATAAATTTTTTTTTCAAAAGATTTCCATTAAATTAAAATTTATATAAAACAAAAATTCATAGGTTACATAATGTACCAATTTTATATAAAATTAGAAGCAAAATAAGATACAGATTCATTAATTTTTGATAACTTGAATCGTACACAATTTGTATTCTGTGTTTTTACAACTTTTGTGATTTAATGGGTTTTAAAATTCGAATAAACTACTTATTGCGTGCTTTTTTATAGAAAAGTTCAACATTTTTTAACCGACAGAAAAATTTGCTTACCATAAGTGCGTTAAAATGCATTGTAAATACGTTAAAATGCATTGTTAGAATGATTATTTATAATACAATGGGATTTAATGGAAATATTTGAGGAAATAAAAGAAGGATTAATGCAAAATATCTTTACACTAGTTATAATAAATTTAAATGCGTTATCGAATTTTTTAAACATATGAAAGCAAATGCAGTTATCACTAATTCCAATAATATTTTAACTATATTTGATCTAAGTTTAACTGTTTTCCAAAGTGTCACTACATTACTTCTGTTACTACGTCTATGGTATAAGTGTAATAATACTTTTAACATAGTTTCCCCAAAATCACACACGCACGAATATACGCACACAGTTATAAAGCAAAGTTTTATGAATTTTAAGAGCAAATACAATATTTTTATATTGGTCTAACTATTTGATGTTTTTCTTGGCAGGTAACAAATGGCAGAAGCAAAACTAAATGAGTTCTCTCTTCCAGACGCTTTGGATATGCTTTGTTTACCAACCACAGTAATAACAAGCAGAAAATGTCTTTTGAGCGGAGGTTTTGTACTTGAAGCTGGAATGAACCTTACAGTCTTGCAACGACAATGCGTTAAGCTTTTGTTCGGAAAAGACTGGCATGGAAACATATTTCGATTAAATACGCAAGTAATAGCTGATCTTTACGTTGATATCGTGGATGAAATTTACCCAACAGATTTAAAAGAAGTTCAAGAACATCTTCCTAATATAAGTTACATTTTATCCAAAGTTTCTCAAGATGTAGAATTTTTTAAGTTAGATAGTGGGGAATCGTTTAAAGATCTCAACCGTATTAAAATAATAACGTCTGAAGGTCAAAATCTACATCTTTCTTTAGAGTCATTGTTAAGCAAAGACCTTTTTGTATTTGTACATTGTAAAAAAACGATTTCCCTTGAAGAGCTCTTATCAACTGATATAACTCCAGGCACAATAATAAGGTTTATTAATAATATGGGTTGTCAGGTTCCTCCTGGAAACGTTGTTATAGATGGTATACATGTGTACGAATCTATTTTAACTGTAAGCAAGCTTGTAGGTAATCATAATAAACTTCTCTACCAAATATTTCAACTTGATTCGGGTATCAAAGTTTTTATTTCAAATGAACCCTTATCTTCAAATGTAATAGAGTTGGGAAAATATTCTTCAGATGAATACAAAGATAGAATAGAGACAATAATGTTTTCAATTTATTACGACATATATTCTCCTTTATTTTACGGACAACTTCTAATAAACACTTCTTTTGAAAATCAGAAAATGATTTTACAAAATAAAGAAAATGATTTTACAGAGTCAGTTAAAAGTTCAACCAGTAAACCTTTGGAGAAAATTGAACATAAAGTAAAAGAAGTGGCTACTCGACCAACATCATTATTTTTACCTGTTTGGAACAGAATGTCATCGAAAAAAAAAAACAGAATAAAAAAAGTTACAAGTTTGCATTCATCTCCAACAATTGAAGAATTCTCTCCGGTAAACTGTGTTTCTCAAATGTCAGATGACTTTGATGACTTTTCAAAAAGTCAAAATGAGTTGCTTGAGCGAGCCATACAAAGAAAAATATATAACATTAACAAGCCAATACAAAAATTAAATTTTAAAAGTGAAAACAAATCAGATGCTTTGAACATATATACTGAAACAGAAAAAAGCGCAGAGAATCTTTATTATGACTGGGAAAATGTTTCTAAAAAAATAAATATACCATTAAAAGATGAAGAGTCTAATGCGTCTTCAAAAAACGCATTAAAGTTCAGCAAAAGTTATGAAGAAAAAAGCTTGAGAACTTTTTTTTCAGGAAGACCCCGTAACAATACTGAAATGAATTTTAAAAGCAGCTTTGATAAAAATCTAGATTCTGGAATTGACTCGCCTGATGGTAGAGAACGCGAAATAAAATCATTTGAGCAATATCTTGATGGTTCAACAAAAAATAATTCTTTTACAACAGAACACTGCACCGAATCTAAAGATTGTAACAACGAATCATCAAAAATGTTAGTTGATGGAAAAAAAGAAGCTTTCAAAAAAAAACTTTCAAAAAGTGACACATCTTTAGCTGAAAGTATTGGCGCTGGAGAAGAGAACTTACACGAATATATCAACAGCTCGCGATCTACTAAAGAACTTAGCTCGGACTACATGAGCGTGGCCTACTCGTGTGTCAAACCTAGAAAATGCATAAATGATTTACAGAAGAGAGAGCTTGAAAGTTTAGAAGAGATACATTCATGCTCTATTGAAGATATAGTAAGAAGGTTACATGGATTACAACTCGGTAAATTTGAAAAACAATTTAGACGCCATATGATAAATGGTAGACTGTTAAGTAATCTATCTGAAGATGCATTACATGAAATGGGTTTATCTCACTTTGAAGCCCGAAAGTTATATAAGTATGTACGTGGATGGAGAGTAAACACGGTAAACTGTTGTAAAAGTTTGGAAGATGCGCATGTTACGGAGTGGTCAGTAAACGACGTCAAAAAAATCATGAGAAATATAAAAATAAATCAATTAGGAATTTTTGCCGTTGAAAATCAAATTGACGGCTATATGCTTGAAGATCTTATAAGAAATAATTATATCAAAACACTAGAAAACGATCACGGCATACGATTGCAAATTGTAGAAATTGAACGATTGCGTGGTTACGTTTACAAAGAAATAAAGTACAAAGATCATGAGATTGCAAAACCAGCTTCAACAAGCAAAAAATAGAATAAAATTATGTTTAATTTATTTATGTTTTCAGCATGTTTTTGGTTCACATTTCTTTAAAATATATTTAAAATGTATCAACAAAATGCTGGTTCACTGAGTTGATTACGTATAAGACTATTTATAAAATGCTGGTTCAACGAGTTGATTACGTATAAGACTATTTATATTTTACAATTTTAAACATTCTATATGTCTTTTTATAACAAAAGCTGCTATTCTACAGTTAACATAGACAAAAAAAAATTTATGATTTTTTTATAAAGTCAAATTATTTTTATTAAATAAAAACTTGATTTTGTTTGATTTTTATTACTATTATTATAGTTTTGACAAGTATTGTTCTTTTATTCATATTTTTTATTGATCAATTGGAACATACTGTTTTATAAAAAAAGATTTTAATTATTTTTACTTTTGTGTTTTATTTAAAAAACTAAACAAGTTTTGGTGACGTAAAGAATCTTATTACACGTGTTATAAGAGCTAAAGGTTAATTCTAATGTTGTTCATTGGATGGCAAGACTTGCATCAAAATCTCGAATTTTTTATCTATTCTATTTTAAGTTGATATTTCGGAGGTTACAAAAAAATTATCTTGCGTATACTGTTCTCCAAATTGACCACCAGGTTGAAACTCTCCCCACTCCCAATTTTTTTGAATTAAATCAATCATATGCAATAGTAAACACAATTTATGTTACCAAAAAAATCTGAACTAGGTGCTAAGTATGTAAATTTTGAAAATTAAAATATGTCATTTTTTGCTTTTTTTCTTCAAAAGTTTAAATAAAGTCAGCCATTATCGTATTCAAAATAATTTATTTACGGCCTTTTTCCAAATATAATTAATACTTTGCAACATGGCGGCAGAATTTAAAATGTGTACTTGTGCAGTTTGCTTGAAAAACAAAGGTATTATATCAAAATGCTTAATGCCCATAACACCCTCAATATGTCAAAAAATTCAAGAATACATTTCGCCAAACTTTGATTCTGATCTTCATGTTTGTCCTTCAGTTGTTCCAACTGCAGAAGAAATTTATTTAGTCTAAACAAAGGAGAAACAACATATCTATACAACTGGTTAGAGAGTTTATCAAAAGTATGAGCTAAATATTATGAGTTAAATGAGCTTTTGTATGAGTTAAATATTACTTATAATATACTTATAATATTACTTATAAACCTCTATATATATATATATATATATATATATATATATATATATATATATATATATATATATATATATATATATATATATATATATATATATACACGTATATATATATAATATAGGTACGTGTGTAAAAATTTCAAATTGTTTAAATATCAGATTGTTATATATCGTTGGAAAGAACTTTAAAAAAATATTCCAAGACTGAAAATTTTATCAAAATTAGATGATTCTACAAAAAGTTATAAGCATTATAGTGACGAAATTTGATTACAAGGATTCCTTAACAAAAATATGGCCAATTTATAATGGTTTTGTAATTTAAACTGCCTTAACATTGTCAAATTTTATCTAAATGCATATAACTTGGTATAAAAAGATAGATGTAACATTGGGCTACAAGCTTCTTTTGCTTTTAACACCTGTGCGTATTCAGGGCGCTAGAGGGGGACAGAAGAAACATCTTTGCCATTAAGAAATTCACATTTCTTCCAAAAAAGGTTGTTTTTTTATATATATATAAAACAAGTAATTTATCATTTTAAGTTGTTATTTTTTTATTACAGTTTGCAAGCAAATATTATAGATGTATTTTATGAAGGAGGTGGATGTGGGGGTAATGGTACACACCCTAGTATGGAAAGATTCATTCTAATAAATATTTTTATCATTATTAAAATGAATAAATTTAGTAAATAATAAAACTAATATATAAAATAGTACAAAATAAAAATTATATTTTATTAAATTATATATTAGTGGCATAAATAAATTATAGGATGTGGGTCGTCACCGTCCTCCCCCCCCCCCCCATCTTTCACAAAAAAAAGTTTAAAAATAAAAAAAAGTGGTAGAGTACGCTCCTTCCAAATCTTAAAATTTAATGCTGCCTTTAAATGCTCTAAATGCTAAAAAAAAAAAAAGAAAAGAAAATGTATACATATGTATAATAAATAAGAAACTTACATAATACGATTGTTTATGTGAACTAATAATAAAGCTAAATATAAAAAACGACAATAACATAAAAAATTATATTTTAATTTATAACTTATTTCTTGGCTTTTAGTGTATGATTAAAAACAATTCGGGTCACCTTTAAGCATGAAAACTAAGTTATATATATAGAGAGAAGAAAAATATTAAGGCTTCTGTAACTTTGTTAGATATTTTTTAGAGTAAATGGTTAATTTACCTTTACCGTCCTTGTAGCGTAGTTTGTTAAGCTGTATAGCAATGTTTGCTGCAATACAATCCCTGCCAAACAGTTTCCTTTTTAATGTTTCTAATGCTTGAAGACTTGCAAGCAGAGGTCATTGTACCCAATGGGTGAAGATGGCAGTTTAGTTTGTTTAACGATTTCTGCCACTAAGTATTTAACTTAGTGACAGTTGCATGGTTTGCTGCCACTCTGTCACTCATCATATTACTTATATTAGCAATAATTGCACTTCGTACTTCAATATATTGTTGCTCGTGAAAATTACTATACAACTTAGCAAGGTGATCTACAGACTGTGTAATATGACTCAGATAATCATTAGCTTTACCCCAACAAGTTGGTCAACAGCCACAACCATGCATCTTGTTTTGGTTGTAAAGCCCACAGCATTTACATGGCCACCCTCTTGTGTAGTAGCATCAAAACCCGAGGTCAGATTTTTTGTTGCAATAGCTATTTCAGCAGTCTGCAGATCTGAACTCCAAGCTCACGCATCATCTGCTCCACAGTTGTATGATACGGAATTTCAGTTGTTGAACATTTATAACAATAATATGCTAATAGAATAACAAAGCATATATAATATATAACTATTTATTATTCTATACAGTATATAATAATAAATGTAATATATTTAATAAACTATTTAAATTAAATTAATTTTAATAGAATATAATTACTATTGCAATAGTCTAGCAAAAAATATATTTTGATCAACTACTTAATGAGTAAATGATGATGCAAATATTTGATAAAAATAATTTAATACTTTGAAAGAATAATCAAAAATACAACTAAAAGTATAACTAAAAAATTATATATCTTCAAAAAATTCAAAAAGGATTCTTTTTAAGAATCCACAAATTTGCTTATTATTATATTCTTTTTAAGAAGCCAGAAGGTTGCTTATAAAAAAACAGCAAGTTAATAAATATGCAATTTGCACCAATCGATATTTCAAAAACTATCATGTGACTATAAGAAATGAAAAATGCGAACGCAGCGTAACAGGGCAAGATATCCAGCATTTCATAGAAATACCTAGGGTGCTTGGGGAAACCCAAAACCAATGTGCGCTACACCTGATTAATAAAATTGTACCAATATTAGACAAATAAATGATCTACAATACCTTAAAGTTTCATAAAGTACCTGTCATAATTTACAGAGCTGTGATTCATAGAAAAAATGTGCCAACTTATGATGTAAAAATATATATGCTTTTTTTTGTAAAGTAGTCTAAAAATGTATCAAATTTTAAACAAACCTTTTTCCTAACTACCTGCAAAATTTAAAAAAAATTGGTTAATAATTAGCGGTACAATGTTGTTTGCCCTAACACGTGTCTTGGTCAAATTACAAAAATTGGGTCACAGATTTTAGCTCGCGTTTTTATGGCAAATTACGAATTTACGCACGTATCTAATATATATATATACATATATGTATATATATATGTATATATATATATATATATATATATATATATATATATATATATATATATATATATATATATATATATATATATATATATATATATATAAATATACATATATATATATATATATATATATATATATATATATATATATATATATATATATATATATATATATATATATATATATATATATATATATATATATATATGTATATATATATATATATATATATTTTAATTTTAATTCACCTCCTCAAGGCCGAGAAGGCCACTACAGACGAGGAGGCTACTTATTTGTGGCTATAACCCTCTCTCAACTCTATAACTCCGAAACACGAACCTTGACGAACAAGGCCGCTGCGCGGAGAAACGAGTTGAGCGCGGTACTACCAGGGACGTGGTGGGGATCGAACTCGGAACCACTCGTTTATGAAGCAAGCGCTCTACCACTACACCACTACCGCATAATATATATATATATATATATATATATATATATATATATATATATATATATATATATATATATATATATATATATATATATATATATATATATATATATATATATACATATATATATACATATATATATATATATATAGATATATATAGATATATATATGCATGCATACACGGATAAAATATATTATATATATATATATATATATATATATATATATATATATATATATATATATATATATATATATATATATATATATATATATATATATATATATATATATATATATATATATATATATATTATACTATCAAATGTATTAGAACTTTTTAAAAACAAAACAAAAAAATTATGTTCTACTTTACAAAGGAGTTTTTAGAGATATAGTTGATGTCAAAAATACAACAGAATTTATTCAATTTATAACAGAAAGAAGAGGCATCGGTAATCTTAATGCAATGGTAAGAATTTCTATAGATTGCGGTCAAAACTTTTTAAAAGTTATCATAAATGTTTTTGATCCAAAAAATCACTTTTCTTCATCGGAAATATATGCAGGTTCTGGCGTGAAACGTTGCTATATTCTTGCTATTGTGGAGTTGGTTTCAGAGGATTATGGCAATCTCCAAAAATTATTGGCTCCTCTAAAACTTGAAGAAGTGAATTTTAGTCTCGCATTTGATCTAAAGTGTGAAAACAGTATTTTTGGACTGTGAAGTCACTCTGGCAAATATGCCTGTTTGTATTGTGAATATGCACATTAGAAACAGGAAAACTTAGAATTTTAGGCTCCATAGACTTGTGTTATGATCAATATGTATGTGATGGAAGAAAAATATTAAAAATGCAGGAATACAAAAATGTTATAAATCCTCGTTTAATTTACTTACAAGAAGATCAAGAAACTTTTCTTGAACACATTGTTCCACCACCTGAGCTCCACATTATGATAAACTTTGTACTTTGCTTTTGTGTGTTTGACCAACTTTTGAAAATTGGTTGAAAAAACATTACATACTAATGAGAGGGTATCACGGTGTAGGCTTCGACGGAAATAATGCTAATAGATTTTTTTCCCTGTTAGATGTTTTAGAGAGAGATG